ATCATCTCACAGGTTTCTACCAGCATCCTCCATCATCTCACAGGTTTCTACCAACATCCTTCATCATCTCAGAGGTTTCTACCAGTATCCTCCATCATCTCACAGGTTTCTACCAGCATCCCCCATCATCTCACAGGTTTCTACCAGCATCCTCTGTCATCTCACAGGTTTCTACCAGCATCCTTCATCCTACGACAAAGGCAAAGGTTTTGCAGTTGTAACCAAGCTTCTTCAGTTGACCCTGAGTTGATTACGGAGTGATTTTGTGGGTGACCTTAACCTGATTGGAACTGTCCTTCAAAAGAGGACACGGCCTTCTTCAGAGGCAGACTCTAAACAACAGGGGGGCAGTTGTGGTACCCTCACGGTCATGTCTAGGGTTGCAGAAACTTATTTTCTCTGCTGATATAAAGAATAAAAGGGCAAGAAATACAAGGTCTCAGCATTCAGCCAAGTTTATTGAAAGTGGAAGCACACACACACACACACACACACACACACAGAGAGCAAGAGCGAGCGAGCGAGAGCGCGCGCGTGTGCGCGCGCCCGAGAGAGAGAGAGAGAGAGAGAGAGAGAGAGAGAGAGAGAGAGAGAGAGAGAGAGAGAGAGAGAGAGAGAGAGAGAGATATGCCCAAATGCTGGGGTTAGGGTGAAGGTTCCATCTGGGGATGTGATGAGTTGCCTTTCTCCTTCAGAATTGGCCAGCTTGAGTTATTGCAGGGAACTGGATAATCCAGACAAAGACAGGGAAGCTGATTTGATCCTTTCACAGGAGCCCTCCTGTGGTAGATGTGGAAGTCCCACCTAACAGTAGCCTAGGGTGGAGAGGGAAGCCCACATCAAGCCTTTGTCTTACAGAGGGAGAAGAAGCCAGAAGTTGGTCATCTTAAATGTATAAGCGAAAATTAACGTTAATCAACGTAGGGCCTCTTCGCGCTGTCTGTCTGCCTATAATGATCTCCTGGAGTCCTGATTCCTCAGTAGAGCGTAGAGAGACATGCATCAACATTAACGTGAAAAAGTCCATTTGCAGAATGCCTGGAAACCCCTCCCCATTAGGGCTTTGAGTAAGGCACAGAGTGTGCCTGAGAAAAGTGGGTGATATGCAAATGAAGAGAAGGAGGGTGCTGTGTACATGACCTGCAAAGGGTCATAGCCACAGGTCAGGGCTTCTGAGCCTTGGGCCTTTCAGAGTTCTTTAGTTTACTTCCCTTCTCCAGAGTTTCTTTCTCTCCCTTCTTAAACAATCTCTAACCATGTGTCCCTGGTCCAGCTCTTTGTTCTGGGGTAGAAGAACAGGAGGTCTCGCAGGCGCCCTCTGGATTCAGCTCTGCACCTGTAACAGGGACCCTCTTTTATCTGAAGAAGCAAGTTGGCTTGCGTCTGAGAGCTCCAAGCAGATAACTCTCGTTAACCATACCAAAACACCTGGCGGCAGTTTCCACTGGTGCTGAGCTCTGGATGAATCCAGGCCAATGTTTGACACTAGCTTTGGGAGACAGGCCAGAAAACACAGCTGAGTCAGACAGTGGTAGCACACCTTTAATCCCAGCACTCAGGAGGCAGAGCCAGGTGGATCTCTGTGAGTTCGAGGCCAACCTGGGCTACAGAGCGAGATCTAGGACAGGCACCCAAACGGAGAAACCCTGTCTCAAAAAACCAAAAAAGAAAATACAGCTGAACTGTATCTGGCTCCTGGGCCCTGAAACCACCAGGGAATGCATGGCTATCACTTAAAGCTACTGGAGTCTGTGGTAAATTTGTTATATAGCAGTGGAAAATTACTTCGGGAGTCTGTTCTTTAAAAAGTTAACTAGAGGAGCTGTGGAGGCAGCTGGAGTGCTTGCCTGGGATGCCTGGAACCCTGGGTTAGACTCCCAGCACCACACAAACTTGTCATGGTGGCACATCCCTGTAATGCCAGCACTTGGGAGGTGGGGCAGGAGGACCAGAAGTTCAAAGTTAAGGTGGAGGATGTGGCTTAGTTCACACAGTGCTTGCCTAGTATGTAAGAAGCCTTGGGTTTGGTTCTGGGTACAACATAAAACTGGGTAGAGTTGCACATACTTGTAATTCAGGACTTAGGAGGCAGAAGCAGGATGATCAGGGGTTCAAAGCCAGCCTAACCTACCTAAGATTTTGTTTCAAGAAACAAAACAGAACAATGGAGCCATGTCTTATGTAAATTTTTCTGCCCAGAGGAGCAGGGCAGTGAGGCTTGGTGAGGCTGGCACCTCGTTCACATTTCTGTGTGGGATGTCTTCATCCCAACGGGTACCTGGTACGATGTAGCCTTGGTGAGGCTGGCATCTTGTACACATTTCTGTGTGGGATGTCTTCATCCCACCGGGTACCTGGTACGATGTAGCCTCAGCCACATTTCTCTTTCTTTTCAACAGAACAAGGGAAATAGCGTGAGGCACCCAGGCGCCACTTTCAAGACAGAGGTTTGACCCTGTGTTTATCCTTATGCACTCTGCCTCCTGCTGCTCAGCCTCAGTTCAGTTCAATTAGAAGCAACATTTATTGAACATCTGCTATGTTACACATTTCCTATTGGGGCAGGAGCAGGAAGTGGGGGTATTGTTAATGGTGATGGAATGGAGCCCAGAAATTGAAGTGAAGGTCACGTGGCCCTGTGTTCGTCTCCAAGTTTGTATGATAAATAGCCACCTTCTGCAGTTGCTATTACAGAGGGCAGAGTGTCGAGTGTTTAACAGATTGTATTTGCTGGATGTATGACCTCAGGAAAATTCCCTATCTGAGCTTCATCTGAAAAAAAAAAATAAGATTGATAATAATACTAAGTGCACCAGAGCTTGGGAGATGGCTTAGTATATAAAGCATGTGCCATAGACACATCACCTACATTAAAAGGCTGAGCAGTGTGGCACACAACTGGAATCCCAAGAAAGAGGAAACAGGCAGAACCCTGGGACCTGCTGGCTAGCAGCCTAGCCTGCTGGGTATATTCCACGCC